TGCAGCTCTTTTTCTGGACCTTTGTCATACCAATAATACCTAATCATATATTCCTTTTATAGAGTTCACTCCCTTATATGTTTCAATGCTGCGTACATTATTTATCCCCTTTTCTTAGTTTCCCCCAAACCCCCTTGTCTGTCCTGTTTTATAATAGTGGCATTATACAATATTTGTCTTTTTGTGACTGAGATATTTCACTCAGCATAATGTCCTCCATGGTCACCCATTTTGTATAATATTCCATGAGTTCTTTGTTTTTCAATGCTGCATAGTACTCTATAGTATGAATATACCACAGCTTTTCTTTCCATTCATTTGTTGATGGACACTTGGATTGTTTCCAACTCGTTTGTTTTATTAGTGATATGCCCCTTTTTTCTTGTTTTTTTCTGGGGAGTCATGAGGATGTTTTCATTTGGGGTGCTTAGTGATATGCCCTTTTCTATAATTTTTGGTTGATTATTGGTACATACTCCATCATCCTTTGGTACTTTCTAGATAAAGACTTTGATATCTGCTTCTGTGATTGCTTTAAAATATTATTTTTATAGTAAAATACATTTCCCTCCCCTTTTTTTTAAAGATTATGGTCATTTTACAGAATACTGCATAATTGAAATACAGGAAACTTAAGTAGTCTATAATATCATGTGAAGAATAGAATCATCCTTATATTATTGTTATTATATGTCAGCACTCTGTCTAAATCTTTTCACAGAATGAAGATCTGCAAGAAGTGATCCTTATGAGGACGGATCAGTCTGGTCAAGTGTGGCCTGTCAACACGCCAGGAAAAACCCCAGAGCCAAAGGGAGGAAAGAGGAGGAGACAGATGGTGTGGTTACCTTTCTAGCTTTACTCATTCATTCATTCATTCATATTTATCATTTCAAAATCTCAGAGCTTTCTTTGCATCAAACTACATAGTATTTTCTAAAACAGTGTTCTGCTGCAAACAGTAGTAAAATAGGAAATTGTAAAATTAATATAGTTTTATTCTTTTTTAAAAAATTTTTTTTTGTTTCTTTGTTTTGTGTTTGTGTACCATCAAATCAGATCTGACTGGTACAGGAGGAGATTGCCCCTCCTTCAGCAGAACATCTGGTGGATTCGAACTGCGCACCTCTGGGATTGTAGTGCAGCTTCTTGCCACTAGGCCACCAGAGCTCCTTTTATAGTTTTATTCTTAATGATCTCTTTTTTGCAGAATATCTGATTAAACTACATTTTATTTTACACTTTACAACTTATTTCCCTTTCGTATGTCTGTATGAGTATGGTCTTAACACCTTTGCTTTTGAGACTATACACAGCAAGCAAAACGTACAGCAGTTTCACAGATTCTGTAGGTACTGTTTAGTAATGATTACACTGTTAGAGTTGTACCATCATTACACCTTTTATTTTTTTAGGTTTTCATCCTTTACTCACATCTAACCTTTCAAATTACTCTTACCAACTTGATCTCCTGTAGATAGTTCTTAAAAGACTATAATGCTGAAGGCAGACATTTTTTACTAGTTAAGCTAAAGTGTTGTTTGGTTTTAAGAAGACTATAGGTGATTTTTTTTGGATTAAGGTTTATAAACTATTTTAAGGCGTTCATCCAATATTTATGGTTTTAGGAAGTTGAGCCCATGAGAATTTGATTTTTCAATATGGATTGAAGATCAATATAAAGAAAACAAAGATTCTCACCACTGGGCCAATTGGCAGCATCAGTATGGGTGGTGAAGAGATTGAAATAGTTAACAGTTTTGGTTTATTTGGCTCCACAGTCAACACTCTTGGTAACAGCAGCCAGGAAACCAGGAGACAAATTGCATTGGGAAAGTCAGCTGTGAGGGATCTCTCAAGAGTACTGAAGAGCAATGACATCAGGCTAGAGACTAAGGTGCACCTGATCCAGGCTATAGTCTTTGCAGTTACATGCTATGCATTGGAGAATTGGACAGTGAATAAGAATGATAGAAAGAGAATTGATGCCTTTGAGCTGTGGTGCTGGAGAAGAGTATTGAATATAGCATGGACTGCTGGGAGAACAAACAGGTTTGTCCTGGAGAGGGTGAAGCCAGAATGCTCCTTGGAGTCAAGGATTCTGAAGCTTCGTCGGACATACTTTGGGCATGTTGCAAGGAGGTACTGGTCCTTGGAGAGGGACATCATGTTTGGGAGAGTGGAGCGACAGCACAGAAGAGTGGTGGGAATGAGTGTGTTTGACATGGCGAGGTTGGCACAGGATAGAATGGCATTTGGGGCTCTTGTACATAGGGTCGCTATGAGTCGCAAGCAACTTGATGGCACATAACAGCAGCAACAACAACAACAACAACAACAATGAATCTTTGACTAAAATGAAATAACATTTAAAAAAAATAATTGCAACTTTTAAATGATTGATGCAATTTTAGTCCTAGTACACATTTCTTTGACTTTGAGCTGCTCTGTGGAAGAAGGATGGGCAGTCTCTTCCCTATGACTGCCTCTGAAAACTCACTAGAGGGTCACCTATGGGTTGGTTCTGACTTGATGATACTCAATAACAGCATACATTTCATTGACATTGTTTATACATAAACTTATTTTGAATACTTCACCACAGCACTTTGGGAATATGTTTGTCTCCCAAATGGTTTTTTTGTATTATGATAGCTAATTTGAGATCTGGTGAGGGAGTACGTGAACACAGTGATGATTTAATATATGTGCTGCCGAAGCAAGCACAATACAGTGATGATTTAAGAAGAAATTATGTGAGTGCTGTAATCCTTGAGAAACCTAACTTCCCTTACCCCTAATCCCATTCCCCCTTTGGGCACTAACAATTAGCTTTTAGTATTAGTTTGAGGCTATCAAAAACAACATACTGCGTTTTCTCAAATTAAATTTTTGCTTTAAATTTGCAAACTTCACATAAATAGAAATTGAGTACATTCAGGATTATTCAGAATTTTTATGTGAAGCACTTATTATACTTCTGTTATTGTTGTTGTTGATTGCCTTCAAGTTGAGCATGATTCTAGTGACCCTATGAACAAAAGGCCTGAAGACTTTCTATTACTGTCAACACTTATCAAAGTTCATAGAGTTTCCAGAGGCGTGTTGTTTAGAAAGTGGATACCACTCCTGCTTCCAAATATTACAGTATTAGGGAATATTATTTATTCATTCAACAAATACAGAGTGAGACTAACAGTTCTTCTAAAGGAGTGGGAGGAGTCAGGAGGAGAGATGAGGCAAGAGAATAGTGAAGGCTCCAATGATTTGCTATGGGAAATGACAGGAAGACCTGACTAGGGAGCTGCAGACACATGGTCATGTCATGGAAATTCCTTTATAGGTTACATATTACCAAGAAGTCTTGGCACAGGAGTTAAAGAAGGTAGATACAGCCATTGAAGGTTGAGGTTTGCTTTTGGAGTTTAGTGAAAGGACAAAAAGGCCAGAAATTGAGTCTGGAGCCAAGGAATGATGAGGTTTAAGCAAACAAAGACATGAATTTTACTGTTCAGAAAAATATTGAGAACAAGGGAGCTCTGGTAGCCTAGTGGCAAGAAGCTGTGCTGCAGTCCCAAAGATGTGCAGTTTGAATCCACCAGATGCTCCAATGGAGAAGGAGGGGCAATCTCCTCCTGTGCCATTTGGATCCGATTTGATGATAAACAACAAAAACAAAACATATTGAGGACATAGTTTCAAAGATTTCAAAGAAGTTAAAGTCTGGATTTCATTTGGGTAAGGAAATGTAAAAACAACATTAAAGAAGTTGCCTTTGGAAGTCCAGTAGTAACATTTCTTACTTTTTTTTCTCTCACACCTGAGTATGGAACCAACCAAAAAGAAGAAACAAGGTTGTGTTGGATGGGAGTCAAAAGAGCAGTTTTATTTCTGCTTAGAAAGCATAGTCTTAATAATTACAAGTGGGCTAGCTAATACTTCTTTTCTGTTTTAGGTACACTTACATGTTCTCTAGTTAACCTAAGTATTCCTCCACAATAGTGGGGAATTTTACTGCCGAGAAGAAGAGCATAGCAAGAGAGGAAAGAAGATGAGATAGAGAAATTCTTATCTTTTCTCCCAAATAATTAATCAGAGACCAGAAATACTTCTATCCCTGAGGAAGAGAGAAGAAAAGGGGCAGGCAAACTAAGAAATGTTCCTCTAGTGGACATTCATCCACATGAAAGCAGAAAGAACAAGGTTAAGCTGAAGTTACAGATTAGTGGAATGTGTAGATTTAATATTAAATTTATACATAATCGATTAAAAATGCATCAGGTCTCATGTTTTCACTAAATCAGTAATGTTTGTTTTTCTGCAGGCTTCAACCCATGAAGAGAAAGAAAGGGTCCGATATTTTCATGATGATGATAATCTCAGCCTGAATGATTTAGTCAAAAACGAGAAAATGGGAACAGCGGGAGACCAAAACAAGCTTTTTATGAGAATGGCATCTAAGGTAAGATAATTTCTGGGATTTCTTTGAAGTTAGAGAAGCTAGTTAGTCAATCTACGAATAATTTACTTGTGGAGAGCTAATTTTCTCTAAACTTTGACTTATAAGTTGAAATTTTCTGTAAAACAGGAACAAGTGTTTAGTTTAAGGTCAGAGTTTAATAATTGGTAAAATGTTAGCATTGGTCTACCTTATCTTAATGCTCCTTTAGTTCTTCATAACTATGTCATTAGAAGGTAGCAGAAAATATCTGGGAAGTAATGTTATTGGTTGTAAAAAAAGGCATTTTTAAATAATGCTAACTTAACATGAAAATATATCTTATCACATTATTATGGAGAATAAGCAGTATGAAACTTTATTTCAGATTACATTTTTTTTCTTGCCATCTCTTTTTAAAGCATTAATTTAAATATTTTGTAGAAGAGACATTATATTTAAGATATATAACTAAGACTGGCAAATTATGACCCTGAAGAAAAAAATGGATCTTCCCCCCTTGTTTTACCAATACAATTTTCTCAGAACATAGTCATTTACATATTGCCTGTTGCTAAGTTTGCTCTAAAATTACCAAGTTAGATAGTAGCAACAGAGATAAGGCTTAAAAGGCAACAAATATTTACTGGTGGTGGTGAACTTTGAAACAGGTTACCTGAAAGGCAGAAAGGGAAATTTTTCCATTATATGTTTTTTCACATATATAATATGTATGTTTCAGTTCTGTGAATGTTTTACTTGGTCAAAAAATCAGTTTAATGAGAGTTATAAGAAAGGTAAACAAAATGTCTATGTGTATTTGTGTGTGTTTATGTGCACATGGTGGAATAGAGAACTTAGATTTGGTGGAAAATAGAAATCTAGCATCTGGAATCTCTTGGTTGCTGTTCATTTATTATAATAATAAGGAACCCTGTTGGTACATTTGCTGACTATAAAGTCGAGGTGCCAATACACCAGGTGCTCTGTGGGAGAAAGTTGGACTATCTCCTGCCATAAAGACTGACATTCTTGGAGACAAACCATTCACTTCACTATGAGTCAAGACTTAAGGGACAGTAGTAGCTTTGGGTGTTTTCTAGTATTACAAAAGTTAACGTTTTCATCTGAGAGTGATGATGGAAAAGAAGTGTTAGGGTCTGAGAAAAGGTATAAAATGGCCTTTATGTGAGCCTGTGATTGAGTTGATGTGAGAGCTCTGCTTCCTGTATTGATTTCCAGTTAGTGGTGAGGACCCATTCATCCAAGATTGGAGGTTATAAATAGCAAATATAACATGTTAAAGTACTCATGGATTTTTCTTCTGCCCTATGTTAGAACAGCAGAAAATGAATAGAATTTGCTTTTTTGTTTTTTGTCTTTTGGCCATGATAGAATGATCATGATTTGTTTTTTGTTTTGCATATTTGCCATTATTTATTACATTAAGAGAACAAATAATATATGCTGTGTGTTACTCTTGCTAGATTTATACATTGTGAGGTCTTTTAATGATATAAGGGATCACTTTTAGTAATAACTAATTTGGCAGTTAATTACACCTCATTTGACCAGTTTCTCCAAACATTTAAAATCTTTGGTATTTTTTTTTAAACTCAAGATTCTTAGAATTATAGGAACTACAATACTGCAGAAGTTATCAAAGATTTTAGGTTCATGTAAGTTGTATTCACAGTCTATTTTAGCCATTCTGGAAACTTTTATTTACAAAATAAGATCTCAATTTTTCTAAATTAAGGGTTTTAGATTAAATATATGAAATATAGGAAGCAGAGGGAGGGAGGAAATTGTCCAAAAATGAAAGAATCTTTTTAAAGAGAAAAGCGAACTTGGAAGTGTAGGGAGGAAAATGAGCAACAGTGAATGAATGGAAATCCAAGTTTTCTGTAAACCTTTGTTAAAATATCAGTAAAAAAAATAAATATATAGGATATGGTTAATTGAAAGTTCTAATCTGTTGTTCATGGATCACTGTGAGGCATAGTTGACTTAACAATTCCTAACAACAACGGTATGATATTACCCCTTTTAAATGCATTTTATGAAAAAAAAGCTCTACATAGAATAGCCTGCCTTAGATCTTAGGTACATAATAAATGTATACTTTTTGTGTACCTACCTGCGTTTAAGAACACTATTTGCAAATAAATGCTTACTGTTTTGTTCTCTATATGGTTGACCTATTCTAATAGTTTTCCTCAGAAAATAGCTAGAACTGATAGTTGAGTACATTTGTAAACTGAACTTTTGTGTGTTCAACTAACACAGATACTATTTAGATTTTTAAGCAAGTGTTACTCGGCCAACTTATATATTGTTGAATTTGTTATATTGTTGTTAGGCACTGCCAAGTTGGGACTGACTCTTAGCTGACACTTCAGTGGTTTTTCAGAGATTATAAATTGCACAGGAGATTATTCATCCTTTTCCTTTGGAACAGTAGGTAGATTAAAACCATATTTTTTGGGTTGGCAGCACAGTTCCTTACCAACTAGGCCACCAGAGTGCTTGAATTTGTTATAGTATTGTATTAAAATTTTGAGACAAGATGTTGTTTTTATCCAAGCCAGTTGTTTCCTTTACGTTATTTTAACTCAACCCATTGACACTGGATTGATTTCAGTTCAAAATGACCCTCCATTGAGTTTCCAAAGTTGTACATTCTGATGTGAGGAGACAGTCCATCTTTCTCTCATTGATGGACTCAAACCACTGACCTTTTCATATAACAGCATGGGACACACAGACACCGTAGCACTAGACCTTCTAGTTAACTCACTTTGTACACTTGTTCCCCATCAAGTTAATTGATTTACAGCTGACCCTTATTTGGGTTTCTGAGGCTTTAAATCATCAGACGAGAGTGGCCATCTCCCCCCCCCCCCCCCGAGGAGCTGCTGATGGATTCTGGCTATCAGAGAAGAGCCGCCTCTGTTTTTAGAGCAGCACTTTGCTAACTGCACTGCTCGAGCTCCCTGCGTCATTCACAGGACAAGCTGATTTGACTGTAGCAGCCAACAGAAAAGCTCGAACACCATCCCTTCTCTTGCTGGTTACTTGTGTTAACTGTTTAAAAGTTGTGATTTGGTTAAAAGTTTATAAAGCATCTGTTGATACCCCCCTGTCCATTCATTTCACATTGTCCTTCCTTCACTCTTTCCAGCACTGTGCTGACTTTTTATGTCTTTTTCGTTGTTGTTTTTCTCATTGACTTGTATGTAATGAAGATAGACTTGAATCATATTGGACAATTTCTCATAAGAAAGCAGATTTTTTTTTCATTCACAAAGCAGTTTCTATCCCTACCTGTATGTGATAGTGCCAACAGAATTGTAAGGTAATATGGAAATGCTAATTTGGCATTCTTTGACTTTTCAGTTCATCAAAACGAATAATTAACTTAAGCATGGTAACAGTTTTTATAGGTTTGGTAATTATAATCAGCTCTATGAAAATTGTGAAATAACACTAAAACCCAAAAACTTTAGAATAACTAAGTTATTGCATTTTTTGAGTTAATAATATCTTTGGTTTATAGTATAGATATGTCAAATTTTTTAAAGGGACTATTAAAGCTTCATTACCCTGTATTTATTTTTTTTTAATTTATTCTTATTAAATGGAAGCTATTCGGTCTGGATACTTGGACCTGGAGGCAGTCGTCAGAACAGAGCAAGGGAACACTTCATGGTTCAAAATTGGGAAGGCGTACGCCAGGCTGCATCCTATCTCCATACCTTTTCAACCTATATGCAGAACAGATTAACCGGGAGGCTGGGCTCTATGAGGAGAAATGTAGGGTCAAGATTGGTGGACGATTTATCAACAATCTGTGTTATGCAGATGACATAACCCTGCTTGCTGAAACTGAAGAGGACCTGAAGCACCTGTTGCAGAGGGTCAAGGACTGCAGCCTCCAATATGGATCAAGGCTCAATGTCAAGAAGACAAAGATTCTCACCACTGGACAAATTGGCAGCATTGGGATGGATGGTGAAGAGATTGAGATTGTTCACAGCTTTAGTTTGCTTGGCTCCACAGTCAACAGTCTTGGCACCAGCAGCCAGGAAATTAAAAGGCGCATTGCCATGGGAAAGTCTGCTGTTAGGGACCTCTCAAAAGTACTGAAGAGCAGTCATGTCTCCCTGGAGACTAAGATGCATTTGATACAGGCCATGGTCTTCGCAATCACTTGTTATGCATCAGAGAGTTGGACAGTGACCAAGGAGGATAGAAGGAGAATTGATGCCTTTGAGCTGTGGTGCTGGAGAAGAGTATTGAGAATACCATGGACTGCTAGGAAAACAAACAGATTCGTCCTGGAAAGGGTTCTGAGGCTCTGTCAACATACTTTGGACATGTTGTGAGGAGAGACTGGTCCTTGGAGAGGAACATCATGCTTGGGAGGGTGGAGGGACAGTGCAGGAGGGGAAGGCTCTCTATGAGGTAGATTGATTCAGTGACTGGGATAATCTGGATGGGAGTGTCAGAGATGGTGCGATTGGCACAGGACAGAGCAGAGTTTAGGGCTGTTGTACATAGGGTCACTATGAGTCACAAGTGACTCGACGGCACATAACAACAACATTGACAACATTATCATAGAAAGTACCTTTGAATTTAGGTACTTCTCTTGCTTAGTGCTTCCTGTGAAAACAGATCTTAGGCCATAAGAGAAGTAACAAGTCAGTAGCTGATACAGAGTAAGACTTTATGTATTAGTTCACTGAGTCAACAAATATTTATTAATTACATTTCATTGTGTGATATATTCTCTTATTGGAAGTACATTGACACATGAAGATTTGCTCTTAAGAAGATTATAGACTAGTTGGAAGAAAAAAGATCCTTAAATAAATAGCAAAAATTAATTCAGTTGTTAAATATGTGCACGTTGCTGAGAAAAATACATGCAAAGGCTTTATCCCTGAAGTTCTGGAGTTTGGAGTGTCAATCCATTGTCCCTATTACTTTTGACTCTCCAAAAACTTAACAGTAGCCTACTTGACTAGAAGCCTTACCAGTGACATTAATAGTTCATTAACACATAATAACCCTCTCTCAGTTTCTGAAGCTGTAAATCTTAATGAGAAGAGCTTGCCATCTTCCTCCTTTAGAGCCACTGATACATTTTCACAACTAGACACACACATCTAAGTGTATGCACCTACATGAAAGCTGCAAGTGAAGAGGTATTTCATAAAAAAGTGAAAGGTTTTCATGCCTGCTAGAATTCCATTTTCTTGGTTTACAGTGGCCCTTACATTGGATTTATTTATCTTGAAATGGCAGGCACCTGCTATTGTGGACGTCTATCTCTGGGATATACCAAGCAATTTAACTTCTAACTCTGTGAATCCTGATTATGGCAGATTATGACTGTATTTTGGATGCTTACTTAAAGTACATAGTTCATCCTGAAGGGCTTCACTGTAGTCCCTCAAGGTGTTGTCAACTACCCAGCGCTTAAAAGTGAATCTTCAAAGTAACTTTACTCTTCTAGCCAGCCAGCTATCTGAAGATGACAGGGAACATGACGTTGTCATTATTGTGTGCCATCAAGTCAATTCTGACTTAGACCATGAAAAAGGATTGCTGTTGTTAGATGCTGTTGAGTTGAGTATGACTCACTGTGACCCTGTGAACCGACTTGAACCCTGCCTTATCCTGTGCCATCCTCATCATCTCTGAGACACTAGAGCCCATTGCTAAGTCACCATGTCAGTCCATCTCATTATGAGTCTTCCTCTCCTTCACTGATTCCCTATCTTTCCAAGCATGATGTCCCTTTCCAAGGAATAGCCTCACCTACTTACATGTCCAGAGTATGAAAGACAAAGCTTTGCCTCTTTTGCCTCCAAGGAGCAGTCCATGGGTTATTTAGTATTGCTTACTGTGATTTCCAAGATGGTAATCTTTGCAACGGGAGCTCTGACCTAGTGGCAAGGAGCTGCACTGCCAATCCAAAGGCATGTGGTTCGAATTCACCAGCTGCTCTGCAGGAGGAAGATGGGCAGTCTTGATTCTGACCTGATGGTATACAATAACAATCTTTACAAAAGGAGACTGCCATGTCTTTTTGTCGTGGAGCTGCTGGTGAGTTTGAACCACCAACATTTTAGTTAACAGCCAAACACAAGCACTGAACCATCAGGGTTCCAGCAATGTGATATGAGACAGAGTGAATTATATATGTATACACCCATTGCCATTTTTCATTTGCTGTGTAATTAGTTCCTTGGTCAAAAGCAGTACGTGGAATACCATGATGGTAGATAAGACATTCTGCAAGTTTACAGTTTGGCAGGGAACATAAAGTTAAGATATAGTAGTACTGTCTTCTAATACAGAATATTAGACTTAAATGCAGAAGCAGTGCTTATGAGGAAGACAAATATTATCCAGACTACATATCTGTTTGAAAAATAACAGCAAAGCATTGCCCATCCGTGATAGAAATGGTCGAGTATACTCATATAGCTGAATGATTCCCCCAAGGGGATGGGGCTGTGTTATGGATTCACCGTTGGTACAGCCACTTTACCACTGTTTTCAGATTTATTTGGAAAAGAGATTCTTCGAGGTTTAAGATTTATGGTGTGGTGTCTTGGGCTTATAGAAAATCATCAGCTTTCTTTAGAATTCTATCTAAATGAGTAAGAAGGGTATTTTCATGCCCTGGTTCTTGTTCCTCACCCACTTCCCTCTTTCCCAGCAGTTTTGTTCACCTTTACTCCCTTTTACTGAATATATGTTCTATTATCTGTTAACAGCATCACCATTAACAAAATGTTGATTACTGTTGTCAATAATAAAGTGGGCTGAAGTTCAGAGAATAGAACATGGAACTATTTTAATTTTTCTCTTTCTTGACATACACAGAAGCTATTAATGATTTAGTAAATAGAATGACTCTTCCTCTCATTTAGATTTTTGCATCAAACCCTGAAGAAAACTAAATGGGGGAAAAATGCAAATAATTAGAGCCTGGCAAAGAAATAGTTATTGTTAAATGAGAAGTGTCAGTCAAGTCTAATTGGGAACACTACTACTCTATTTAGTTCAAATGTTACAAATAAAAGTTTGGCAGAGAACAGAAAATTAAAGAGTAGAAGTATTATCTTCCACGTGTAGAACATTTGATTTAAATGCATTTCTTAATCGTTTATGAACTGATTTTATTAACAGTGGGCTGTTTTGTAGAATGGCACAATTATTTTATATGAATATGTATTGTAATTCTGCCAGTAGATATTATTAGCTGTCTGTTTAAATATCATAAGTTGGTTTTATATTTATTTTTCAAGTTAATTTTCTTCTTTGATTGTTAGTCCCTTAATTTTTCTTAAGTACTGCTTTAGGAGCATCTTTCAAATTTGGGTATGGTATATTTTTGTTTTAGTTTAAAATACTTGCTATTTTTCATGTTCATGTCTGTTCAATGGGTTATTTAGAAACGTATATTTAGTTTTTTTTGCTTTAGTCATCAAAGCTATGCATCAGGGTCATATCCTCTCACTATACTTACTTAATCTATATATGGAGCGCATAATTTGAGAAGCTGGGCTATGCAAACAAGAATACAGCATCAGGATTGGAGGAGGATTCCTTATGGAGATGAGATAAACTTGTCTGCTGGAAGTGAGGAGGACTTAAAGCATTGATGAAAATCAAAGACTACAGCCTTCATGAACATGGATTACACCTCAATACCAAGAAACATAAAGAAGATAGAAATTCTCACAGTTGGACCAGTAAGCATTGTTAAGATAAATGGAGAAAAGATTGAAGTTGCCAGGGATTTCGTTTTACTGAGACCAACAATCAGTGCCTGTGGAAGCAGTAGTCAAGAAATCAGACAACACGCTGCCTTGAGGAAATCTGTTGCAAAGCACCTTTTAAGAATATTAAAATGCAAAGACGTAGCTTTGAGGACTATGGCTGAGCCAGGCCATCGTAGTTTTATCAGCTCATAGATAAGTGGAAGCTGGACAATAAGTAAAGATGATCAAAGAATGGATGCCTTTGAATTATGGTTTTTATGAGTTATTTAAAAAAATATAACATGAATTGCCAGAAAGACAAACTCTAGCCTGTTTGGAAAGATACGCAGTCAGAGTGCTTCTTGAGAGGCAAGATTGGTGACATTTTGTGTCACATAGCTTGGACTTGTTATCAGGAGGACCTAGTCCCTGAGGAACGTCATCATGCTTGGTAAAACCCTCAGGAAGAGGGAGGAAGACTGGCAGTGGGCTTGGGCAGTGCTCGTGGGGAAGAGGCAGCACTGTGCTGGGTGTACACACAACTGCTAGGAGTCACGGCTAACCAGTTGCACCTAACAACAGGCAATTAAACCTGAGATTAAAGAATGAGTATAAGAATGGCAAAAATGAGAACAGGATTGGTAAAAGAAAAATATACAAAGCCTGAAGGTAACAGAAAATAGGATGACTGGAAATTAGAGTACTAGTGTGACAGTGTGTCTAGAGATGTGATCAAACCCACATCATAAAGAGACTTGTAATGGCATTGTTGTATTGTGCTGTCAGGTGGGACTGATTCATAGCTGACCCTCCTGTGGGTTTTCAGAGGCTTTATGTTACACAGGAGGAGATTGCCCATCTTTTTTCTTGAGGAACAGCTGGTGGATTCGAACTGTGCTGCTTTGGGTTGGCAGGACAACTCGCAATCACCAAGATCTTACTTGTGCTGTGCATGCCTGTGTTGTGAAGGCTAAGTTGTAGAACTCTCTTAGATAATATTGCTATAACCATTATAAAATAAGGAAGTAAGATTAGAGTGGGCACAGGAGAGATTAAAAGTGGTTCCGTTTCTTTCTCTAGTAAGTGGAAATAATATTGGTTTCTGCCTCAAGGGAATATAAAATGATAAATTGTGTGTGATAGTGATGATGTTGATAATCATAATGTAGTGTGTAAGGTCTGAAGGTTACATTTTTCTCATTTCATTTTCTTCTAAGATTTATCATAGAATTTAGAGGTATAATTTCAGAATGCTACATTACAGTAAAATTTTTTTCTATTATTTTTAAAATTTATTCACTGTTACACAATTTCTTTCCCTTCCCTCCTCCTCCCCAGCCCACCCCACAATGTACACCTTGTTCCTGATTATTCTCGTGCATATAATGCCTAATCATATATTCCTTTCAAACAGTTCTTCCCCTCATCTGTTCTAATGCAGCATTTATTATCTATCCATTCTTTCCCCAGTCTCTCTCCAACCTCCCCCATGTCTGTCCTATTTTATAACAGTGGTGTTATGCAGTATTTATCCTTTTGTGACTGAGATATTTTACTTAGCATAATGTTCCCAAGGCTCTCCCATGTTGTGTACATGACAGTAAAATCTTAACCACCTTCTGATGCACTTAATTTTTGTGTTTTGGTTTTTTTCTTTTTTTCAGTTTATGGGAAAAACTGATGGAGATTATTATACTTTGGATGACATGTTTGTCTCTAAAGCAGCCGAGAAAGGCTGCCTTGGTGAAGAGGAAGAGACGCAGAGGAAGAAAGCTATTGCTGAGCACCAGAGCCTTGCTGCGCAAATGGAAAAATGTCTATACTGTTTTGACAGTTCTCAGTTTCCAAAGCACCTTATTGTTGCAATAGGTGTTAAGGTAAGAAAGAAGCATTTATTAACCTAAGGAAAAGATTTCTCAGTATAAGTTGATTTGCCTCTTTCTTCCTACTTTTTTTTTTGCTGGCTAGACTGAAAGGCTTTATTTTACAAATTCCAGCTGGTGACCGAGGCCTTCCCAAGGGAGCCCCTGTCCCAGCAGGTCCGGGGTGGTGGGTGCTGGGTCGAGAAGAGCAGCTCCCGAGAAGAGAGGCAAGTAGGCAGAGCCTGCAGAGTCCGTCCAAGGTCCATGTGGGGGGCTCAGCCTGAGCAGCCTCTGCAGCCGCAGTGCGTGCACTCGATGATCTGGCCCACTTCCAGCTTGCTTTTGGGGACCCGGCAGATGCAGTTGGTCCCGAAGTTCATGTCCCGGGTCTGGATGCAGCACAGGCAGCAAAGGTTCTCGTAGCCCTGCTTCTTCCACTTGGCGATCAGGTTCTTGTCGGCGTAGCCTTCCTTGATGCAGTACTCGTACAGCTCTCTGCTGATGGCCTTGCGTTTATAGAAGAGGTCGAAGATGTATCGGGTTTTCTGATGGTGGATTCTGAAGATGGGCCACAGAGACTCCACTTTCCGCTTTCCTTCATGAGGTTCTGTTTCCGCTTCTCTCATCTTTTGATCCAATTCATCTAAAGTTGGTTCAATCAACTCCCAACCATCTGGGGGAGCTTTCCGGCTCCTTTTGACTTTAGGCATTTCTGTTCACAAGATCTTAAAATCTGCTTCCGAAGAGTATAACGGGAAGACGTCTGGATTCTGGAGTTACAGGCGAGGGTTCTTGTTCCACTCTACCCTGTACTTGTGTCTTTGGGGCAGTCACTTTAACACGCTGGTTCTCAGTCCCCTCATCTAGCGGTCAGCTTTCCTCTGCCGCCACTTCCCTACTGACCGCTCCTGCCTTGGACGTGATTGTTTTTTCTTCCTACTTTTAATGTTTTCTGAAGAATCCATCTTCCCTTATGTTTTCAGTATTTTGTGTTTCAAGTTTTTATGGTTATTAGAATATTTTTTAGAGTGACTGTCATTATTGAAATGACATGAAGTTCGTCTCTTGTGTGATTCTGCCTTTTAGAAAGATAGTTTTCGGGAGTGGATAAGGCTTTGGGCTTTAGAGCCAAGTATTTTTATTGTTGTAAGGTACCATTGAGCTGACCACAACTCAGAGTGACACTAGGAACAGCAGAGCCAATGCTGTCCTGTCCTGTGAGTCTTGCTGTGCTCGGGGCCGTTGTTGCAGTAACTGTTCCATCTTGTGAAAGGCCTTCTTCATCCACGAGCCAGGTGCTTGGTGTCACGTTCTGGCTTTGCCCTCTACCAGCTGTGTGACCTTGATTTGATGATTGGCTCTTTTTCAGTGTTAAAATCACCTCAATGAGACTCAATCCAAAGCAGCTTCTGCAGTTTCTCCTAATTTTGAATGGAATTCTGCTTTAGTTTTCATAGGTTGTCATGATTTTAAGAAGTTTATTATCTTTTCTTTGATTCACTTGTTTATTAGATGTCTACCCTTATATTGGTGATTTTAATCCCAAACTTCACCCTAGTGTCCTCTTTTCCTATTTATCCCTTCTCTTGATTTTCTTGATACTCTTATCACCATGTTACATACTCTGTTTATCTTTATTGCCCCTTTTGGGAAGATACTTTTATGTCTTGGTTTGTTGTTGATTTTCCAGCGTATAGAACAATGTGTGGCTTATAGTATACCTCAGTAATTATTAATTGATCAATCATTGGCTCTGCTTTTTCTTGAAAAAGAAAAATCATTACTTATTTTGCTATTCAATTTATTTCTTAAGGTATTTATCGTTTCTCTTATATAGTTCTCTTTTAAAAAATATTTTTAATACCTGTTCTAAATAATTTTTAGAATGGTTTTAGACATTAATTTGCCTTTGTTGGTAATTAAAGAGCCCCGTGGTTACACTGCTAACTGAAGGTCAGAAGTTCAAACCTCCCAGCCACTTTGCAGAAAATTGATCAGGCAGTTGGCTCCCGTAGTGATTACAGCCTTGGAATCTGTTCTGTAAAATTGGTATTAGTCAGAATCATCTCAATAGCGCTGTTTTCAGTACGTTATCTTCCCTGCGATTGGCACAGTTAGAGCAGTATCCTTTTTTCATGAAGTTTAGTTTTTTTATTTATGTCAGTGTGTTAGATTTTCCAGATATGCTGTTTGTTCTGTGCCTTCGAGCCGAGGTTCTCTCATAGGTACTCAAGAGCAGTGATGTCAGTCTGAAGACTAAAGTGTGCCTGATGTTAGCCTTGGTCTTCTGAATCACATGCATCTGAGAGCTGGACAACTCCAACACCACATTGCAACGTGCAAATCATTCTCCAATATAATGACCTGAAAGGTGTTAAACTTCCAATAACAAACTGTAGAGACAATTGGGTATATAAGGTCCTGGTGCCATATGCCTTTTCTAGGCCCAGCAGAGGCCTGTGGTGGTGCAGCAGGATGGGATCTTGGCTGGCTGGTTGTCACACACAGTGGCTCAGCCGGTTCTTTGGTGCTGGTGCCAGCATCACAGGACCACAGGCACAGCAGGGCGACTCGCCTGCCTGCAGATCTGTGCATGCCTCTTAAGCTTTCCCTTTCTTTATTTTTAAATTGTGACTATGATAGTTATTTTACTGTAAACTTAAGAAAAAATCCATATTTACTCCAACTTTATCTACTCTCAGAAGTTTAAAAAATTTTTATTATTTTATACATTAATTAAATACATAAATATGTTTATAGTTTAAATACTAATTGACATTTTACAAAAAAAAATTTAAAGACTTTATATAAAATAGAAACATAAAATCCATTTTAGGTAATAAAAGTGAATATAAAACCCAGTGCCATTAAGTGGATTCCTACTCATAAGGACTCTATTCGGTTTCTCCTTCTTTCTCCCTCAGAGCCACTGCGGTCAACTGCTGACCTTTTGATTAGCAGCCCAATACATTTCACTCTGCCACCAGGGCCTCCATTTTAAGTACTCGCTTTGTGTTATCAAGTTAGAACCGACCCATAGCTGACCTTCCAGTGGGTTTTTTGAGGCAGTTTAATCACACAGGAGGAGGCTGCCTGTCCTTCTCCAGCAGAGCACCTGGTGGAATACATGTATGTAAATAGGCATCTTTAGTGGAGCCGCTAAAGTAATAATGAAGGCACTTTCTGTGCCTCTTAATTGTTTAATTCTTGCCTCAGCTAATTGTTGTTGTTTGGTGCCGTTGAGTCGTAGACGACTCATAGCGACCCTATGAACAAAAGGCCTGAGCATTGTTCATAGGGTTTCCGGAGGCAAGCCATTTCAGAAGTGGATGCCGCTCCTACTTCCAGGCTTCAGCTAATTAGAGACTCCAACAACTCAAACACACTGCTGTGGAGTCGATTCTGACCCTCTGTCCCTCTGTCAGGTTTCTGAGGCTTCAGATCACAGTTACCAGGCCATGTAGCTTGAGGAAATTGTTAGGTAAGGTCTTTTAAAGCTTACCTCTCCTTAAGGATAAAACGTCATTGATTCTGCCATAGGTTATGGTAACCTTCTGTCTGATTTGTAACAGTGAAAATGGAAACTTGCATTCTAAATTCCCAAATTATTAAAAGCTGCCTGATAGTATCTTTCAAAATATTAAAATAAACATATTACTTAGAAGCAGGTATACAGCTGAGAAAAATAGCAGTAACATTTCACTTTCGGAATTTTTTTTCTTTAGGTTTATTTATGTTTGCCCAACTCCCGCTCCCTTACGGAAGGCCACTGCCTAATAGTCCCTTTGCAGCACCATAAAGCAGCTACCTTATTGGATGAGGACATCTGGGAGGAAATTCAGGTCAGCATGATTATGCTAATTACAGCCATTTGCAAGTTATGACTACATTTTTTTATCGTTCAGCACCTTTTTTCCTTTTTAAAAATTTATATTCTGTAAGTATGGAAAATTTTTATCTGATAAACTGTATATGATAAAGTAGTAATTATTTTGTAAAACACTATATAACATGGGAAAGTCTAAAGAGCATTGTTGTTGATTTGTACCATAAAGTTTGAACCAACCCATAGCTGACTCTGCAGCAGGTTTTCAGAGGCAGATAATTGCTCTGGAAGAGATTGTTCATTCTCCCATGGAGCAGCTGGTGGCCTTGAACTGAGTGCCTTTGGCATTGCAGCACAACTTCCTGTCACTATGCCAACAGAGCTCTCAGGAGCATTGTGCTAAGTGAAATAACTTAGTCATGAAAGGACAAATACTACGTAAGACCACTGTGAAAAATAGGGTAACTGAACAAGATGTGTATAAATGTTCAAAAAAGGAAGAGAAGAAGCAGGGGTCAAAAAAAAGAGGAAGGGAAGAAAATCACTAGGGTAGCAGAGGTTTGTGGGTGGCAGTGGGAGTGAAGGAATAAGAAAGATTCAGTGGGAACTTGAGAAGATGGGGTGATAATAGGTATAGATCAACAGTAATTAATTCTATAAATACAATGTATATACATAATTATATAAAACACAGTGCACATGAATGAAATACAATGTATATGAGTGAAGGCATAAAAGGAGAAACTAGAAGGATCAATGGAAACAAGAATCATGGGGAAATGGGAAGAGTGCTGTTCCAGTGCCACGCCACAGAGCAGTGCATGAAGGGTTCTGTGGAAAACCAATGTGCTCGGTAAACTTCCATTCATATTACCGTAAAACTTTTTTAAAAAAGAAAGAAAAGCATTTTAGTAGATAAAGTAAAAATTTATTTAGCCCAACAGGGAATATATGACTCTAAGATATTTTTGTTTCCGCAACTGTTTCCTATAGTGTGTCAAGCTCCTTCACTTTAAAAGCATACAGTGCATACACAGAATGCATGGATCTGCAAAGGAATGAGAGAAACCCTGACCCTGCAAGTAACTGTCAAACAGGGAAAGAGTGAAAGTAAGAGGTCTCCTAAGAATTCTCTGGAGGCTCACAAACCAGGGGAACAAGCACCAACTGAGTGGAGCTGACTCCTGACTTCAACCAAAGCAACTCCAATTTTTCTGTGGTTTAAATAATAGGATTCCAAACAAGATTTACTTTGAAGAAAGGCTCACTACATTAAAATAAGAATAAAGAATAAGGAAAGAAAAAAGTAGTAAACTACTGCCTTAAAGGAAAAAAAAAAGATATTTTTGTATGTTTTGTGACAAATAATAGCAATAAAATAATTAATTCTCTCCAAAGGTATGCTATATTCCAATTCAAACCTATAGTTTAATAGTGTGGGGTTTTTTTTTTTAAATATTTTTTTTTTATAAACTAAGACCTTTACAATATATTTCATTCATAGAAATTGTTTTATACAATCTTTCATTTACATTGTGTTTCATACAATTCATTCATATACATTATATTTTATACTAGTTTATTTAGTTTAGTAGGTTTTGTAATCTTGGTGCGTTATGGAAAATTGGTTGAGGGAGGGGAGAAACAAATTACTTTTTGCAAATAATGGCATAACTTTTGGTTCTATAGTTTTGTATGCTAAATGAAAAAATTGGAAGTTACAAAACGTTAGAGGATAATGAACTAATGAATTTTATGAATTTTCTATCTCTATTTGTCATTGAGTTGGACCATTTGTTGGGTTTCTGAGGCTGTAAATTGCAAGGTGGAGAGATTGCTTTCTCCACTGAAGCTGCTTGTGGATTTGAACCACTATAGAAGTGTGACCTTTGTGTTAGCAACACAACTCCTTGTGGACTACACCACCACAGCTCCCAATATGATTCTTAGTTCATTTAAAGAAATGTTGTTAAAGCTTTTTACTTTACTTTCCAAAGTGTATGTCAGTTCACTTACATCCTGGTGAGTAATTTTTTAGTGAATATTTTTAAAATTATTTGAGTTAGCAAAAAATGTTTGCAGGTGTTGGAGCCACTTCTTTGAAATGCTTCTCTAGTAATATTTATATTTCATTTTAGATCTCTTGTTTAACAGAAAATGTAAAGACAGTCTTGGAAAAAGCATATATGCATAGTAATGAATTTCTAGTGAGTAAGAAATGGACATCGGTGGTTTAATTCTTCTTGGGTCAGTAATCAACATCCGTGGAAGCAGCAGTCGAGAAACCAAGCAGTGAATAGCACTGCTCCAAGTGACCTTAAAGTTCTTAAAAAGCTAAGATGTTACCCTGTGAATAGAGATCAAAACCGTACCCTGTCATGTGCTGAGTAGTGGGAACTGGCTCACAGGTGACTCTCCAGTGGTTTTTCAGAAACTATAAGTCATGTGGGAGGAGATTACTTATCTTCTTTCCTGTGTGGCAGCTGGAAGATTTAAACCCCCTGCATTTGGGTTGGCAGGGCAGTTCCTTACTCTCTAGGCCACTAGAGCTCCCTCCCTTAGCTATTAGAGGAGTACACACGTAACTATGTGATACAGCATTTTATTTATATCTATATGTCTCAGAATGTATAATACAAATTATTGACAACACCACAGCTAATGAAGTTGCTGAATTATTGCTACACTACCGGTCAAACTATAAACTGGTACAGCTGCTTTGGAAAACTATTTGACAGTTTTTTAAAGTATGAAATATTCAGCTTTCCTACTACCTAGCAATTGCAACCTTGGATATTTATTCCAGAGAAATGGAAAGCTAAGTCTACATAAAATTTGTATACAAATGTTCATGACAACCTGTATTTGAAATATGTGAAAATAAGTAACTTCCCAGATGTTCTTTATGGGCAAACATACTTTATATACAGCCATACCAGAAATATATTTAGCTGTAAAAAGGAAAGAACTATTAATGCATACACCAACCTGGCTGAATCTCCAGAAAGTTATGCCGAGTTAAAAAAAAGCCAACCCTAAAGTATTCTGTGATTTCGTTCAAGTAACATTATTGAAATGACGAATTAAAAGACATGAAAAGCAGATTCATCCATTGCAAGGGGTTAAAGGAATTAAGGTTGAAGAGTTAGAAAAAGAAATGAGAGCAAAGTGAAGTAACTCTAAACCCACAAGAACACAATTCTTACGCCTTTGGAATTGTTCTGTATGTTTATCAGGATCCTGACTGTGATACTGTGATGGTTTTATCATTGAAGGAAGCTAGGCAAATGCACTATTTTTTATAACTTGATGGGAAACATTTGGAAATGAATTCTGCTTGTTGCCTGTTCCTACATTTGTGATACTCATCTGTTCAGAGTATCTTTTTGACCTATGAATGTTTTCCTTAAATTTTTCATTTTTGTTAACTGTAACCATGCCCTACAAATACATAAAACAATATGGAGTTAGCTTGTTTGAAAAACATTAAGTATGTGATATTATTTAGGAGGTTCAGAGAGTAAATATAAGGTAGCAAGATGTTCTAATGTTTATGTATTTGCAATTTTTAATTTTAAGGCTTTTATTTTTATTGTGCGCTTATGGTGAGTACCCTGTATTTACCTTTATTTACCTTTTATTCTCTTTCAGATGTTCAGAAAATCATTGGTAAAGATGTTTGAAGATAAAGGATTGGACTGTATATTTTTAGAAACTAATATGAGCATGAAGAAACAGTATCATATGGTTTATGAATGCATTCCTCTCCCAAAGGAAGTGGGTGATATGGCTCCCATCTATTTTAAGGTATTTAAATATGATCTTTACATGCATACTTTTTTTTGCTACTGTTCTGTTTTATAACTGTAGTTATTTGGGTTCACGTATCTTTTCTCTCCTATCTTTAGATCAAATTTTATGTAAGAAAATGAAATAAAGCACAAAAAATTCTGCTGTATCAATTTCTCAAAAAGAAATTTCACATTTGCACTGTAGAAGTGTGCTATATTATCAAATGGTACATTATAATTTCTATCTTATTTTCTTCTGTGAAATGAGTGTTTTTCTTTGAAGCACTTTCAAAACAAAATTATAGTATTAACTGTAAGAAAACTTCCAACAATAAGAAAAGACCTAATGATAATAACATACATACATGACAAATTGTAATCACTGAGTTAACTTATTGTTTAAATTTTAGTAATTTTTTATAAATGTTAATCTCTAGCCTTGACATGTATTTTTTTTTTAAAAAAGCAGTTTCCTTTTTTTATTATTATTGTTATTTTGTATGTGTGTGTCTGTGTACCGTCAGATCAGATCTGACTGGTCCAGGAGGATATTGTCCTTCCTTTCCCGGCAGAGCATCTGGTGGATTCGAACCATGCGCCTCTGGGATTGCAGTGCAGCTTCTTGCCACTAGGCCACCAGAGCTCCCCGACATGTATTTTTTGACATGCAATAAATGACTAGTGTCCTTAGTCAATTCAGTGTCACTATAGTTTTAAAACATCCTTTGTTAGTTACTGTATATTTGTTGTTGGCCTACAATATGGTGGAGGAATTATAGACTAATACTGCTGCATAAGTGTAAAACTAGATAGGAAATACTAAATATGCAAAGAAAAAAGGAATGTAGTGTTTTGTGAAAGGGGCTTTGCTCTAGTGGCCTAGAGGTAAGAAGCTGTGCCGCCACCCAAAAGGTATTTGAATCCAGCAGCTGCACCACAGGAAGAATATGGCCCATCTCTGCCTGTGAAATTTACTGCTTCTGAAGACCCACTGGAGGGTCAGCTGTGGGTCGATTCTGATCTGAAGGTACGCAACAACAATATTTTGTGAATGATGACTGAAGACTTTTGGGGATTTAAACATTTGGACAGTATGTTATATTACTAGGCATATAAATAACTTTTGATATTTGGAATAAGAAGAGTAAAATAATTTGAGTAGATTTGATCATAGATTTCTATGAGTATAGCTAGGAATTTTTGAATTCTCATAATCACAAATAATATTCAATATTAAATTACTGGGTCTTAATAAAGATTGTTTTGTCATGTAAGGTTGAATGGAAATTGTTTATTGTGTACTGTAGAGGCTGATTCAGTTCATAGCTGACTCTCCAGTGGGTTTCCAGAGGCTGTAAATTGCACAGGAGGAGATTACCCATCTTTCTCCTGTGGAACAGTTGGTGGATTTGAACAGTGTGTCTTTGGATTATCCGTGCAGCTCCTTACCAGTCGGCTACCAGAGTGCTCATTAGAGGTTAAAGATCAATAAAAGAGTATTGTCTTTATTTAAGACTGTATTGTAAAAAGTGAGGAAGTTCCATTTTAAAATAATGATTTAACATGTATAGTATACTCTGTAATTCACTGTTTATTTTTAAACTGTCTCTTTGTATTTGCTTTTATATTTTAATTTAATAAATGATTATTTCTTAGAAAGCCATAATGGAATCTGATGAAGAGTGGTCCATGAACAAAAAATTGATTGATCTGTCTTCAAAAGATATTAGGAAATCTGTAAGTATCCTTTTTTTCTCCTAATATAAAAAATATGCGAGTGTTCAGAATATTCATAAATTTCCACATCTCAGTTGAGAAAAAGACCATTTAGACGAATGACTAAAAGGCAAAGTAACTGATTCCATAAATAAAGATGGAATTATTTTTGTTCTAAGATATGCTTGCTTTGTGTATCATTTTACTTTTATATCTAAATGAATGTTTCCTCCCAACTTTTTAGTTTTCTGCCATGAATTATTGGCTAGGATAACCATTAAATACTACCATCAGAGCTCCTCTCTTAAACTCTTTCCTGTGGGAAAGGTGATGAGAAGGACTTTCATGTGATGGGGATAATAATGAGAGGAAATTTTTCCAGGGGGCTCCATTTCCAGTATGGAATTTGATTTTTTTCTTTTACAAAGTTTCGATTTTATATTCTTATAAAATAATCATTGAGTTATACTATATGTTTATTATTCTTTTGGAAACCTCCTTACCTGTATTTCATAATTAATATTAATTTTCAGGTCAGTTTTTGAAGTTATTATATATTGAATATTTCTATAATGACTTCTTTTCTAGAAATATGAATTAAATGGAATAGAGCTAATAGAAGTTTGAAATATTTTCTTATTAAAAAAAATTAATTCTACAAATTTGCATTGAGGACCTACTATTTAACTAGCCTTGTGTTTAGATGCTTTTATAGATACAAAGTTCAAAATAGAGAAGATCCTAACCTTTATGGAGTTAACAGGGATTGGTGACTATCGCCTATAGGCCAAACCTACCTGCTGCCCCTTTATGTAAATAAAGCTTTCTTGGAATACAGGATTGAGTGGTTGCAACTGAGATGGTATGATCTGGGTGCCTAACTAGTTGCTGTCTGTACCTTTACAGAAAATGTTTATGTATCCTTGTTCAACTAGAAAGTACTTCTGGTAGAATAGTGCTTTATGTATTGTACTTCTACCGAAAAGGTCAGTCAGTGGCTTGAATCCACCAGCTGCCCCTTAGGAACAAGCTGAGAAGTTTCCTCCCATAAAGATTTATAGTCCCAGAAACCTGGTGTAGGGTTTCTATGAGTCAGAGAATAAGCGTACGTTCTGGTGGTACAGGGTTATATGCTTGGCAGCTAACTGCAGTGCTTATGGTTCCAACCCAAAAGTCACACTACAGAGTGAGAAAGAGTAAATTGTCTTCTATGAAGATTTGTAGGCTTGGAAACCCTCAGATACCGTATTTACTCTGCAGGATCTCACATGGTTATTTTTGTTGTTTGCTTGTTCTAGTAAATGTCACCAAAATGTTTCCTCCTCATTTTTCCTCTTTTAAAGCCATTTTCCACTTACTACTAATATCCCAGTGTATTACTGAAAACAACACAGTATTAATTTAAAGATAAAATGGTGTCTATACTTTTTTTTCTCTTTCTTTGCTGGTCTTGGGCCAGATAACATACTAAAACATGAAACAAACATCAGATGTCTTACATGCTTTTCACCCTCATAGATGGCATCATAATTTATATGTCTGTGTTTTTTATGCTCAAATTTTTCACTTTGCTTATTATAATAATTTATAATGCTATTAACTATTTTCTTAAAACATGATTTAAATAGAACAGTTCTGTAAAAATAGCAGGGACAGCATAGAGATAGCGTCTGAACCCCTTTTTAATTCCACAAGGGAGCACTGTACCCATCAGCAACAACCACAGTACAAAACTAATTCCTAATGAGGTTAGACGCGGCCCCCAAACTCCTGCATCATACTAGTTCCAACATCAGCTATACTGCTATACTACTAAGTAAAAATCTGTTGCAGTGACCACACAGAATCATACTCACAGCTATGGGCTTTACTGGGGAATCTAACAGATTGCAATTCAGGTTGTCAACAGGATACAGTTCCTCAGTCAAGACAGCTTCTCAAGCGTGCTCATAGGCCATTTGACCTTCAGCCTCAATTGAGGTCATTGTTACAAAGTTCTCATACTCCTGCCAGTTCTAATGTCTTTTCAGTTCTCTAGCAAAATTAGGCAAAAGCCACTGGCTCTGACTCCATGGACCAGCAGTCCTCCGTCAGCTTTCTTGTTGGTGCTCAGTGTAAACTTGGTGGATGGGTAAAACTGGCCAATCCTATCATAATTACACACCCCTTTTCAGGTTCTGATGCAGTTATTTATGTGGAAAATGTGAAAAACAATGGCTTAAAAAAGGCATTTTGAGCAATAAACCTGTGACATCATAGTTGAAAATAAGAAATTTATAAATACATTATTACCTATTTGCTATACTATATATTCATTATTGATACTAGTAGTTATTATAGTTACTATTATTTTGTTTTTTACTTTAAAAACTTGGCAAAATATCTGAATTCAGTAGCAGATCTTTATAATATTATAAATTAATGAACATTTAAAAATAAGAGGCAGATTACTGATGCTTCTAAGAATGGTGGTTGTATATTTAGTTTTAAAATGTTCCACAAATAGCTTTTACTAAGGCTTCTGCCTGAGGCCATTGGAGGATCACAGTAGATGAAGAATGGCTGTATGTCATCTTGAGGACCCTTTTAGCTCTAATATTGTATAATTATGTGAATGGAATTGTGAAGAGGATCAGAGCATAAAATTATTTTACAGAAGGTCACTTTTTAGGTTAACAAGTTTTCTCTGTTATTTTGTATTTTTTTAAAATTTCTTTGTTTGTTTGTTTTGTATTTTTAAGATAGTGAAAGTATGTTTTAGAACTCGAAATGACAGACTCCACTTTTTTGGCATTAGCTTGACTTCTTTTTTTTTTTAAATTTTTTATTTTTTGTTATTTTTGTGTGCGTGTACCGTCAAATCAGATCTGACTGGTACAGGAGGAGATTGTCCCTCCTTCCCCGGCAGAGCATCTGGTGGATTTGAACCGTTCACCTCTGGGATTGTAGTTGCAGCTCCTTGCCACTAGGCCACCAGAGCTCCCCCTAGCTTGACTTCTTAAGGGAGTTTTGGTGGGCTAAGGTCAAGAAGCTGCGGTGCAATCCTCAGGGCCTGCAGGTTCAAGGCCATCAGCTGCTCTGTGGGAAAAATCTCACTATACTTTGTAAAGCTCTGTATCCTTACTAGTTTCATAAAGTATTTTACTTATTTCAGTAGGGACAGGGTGTTGTGGTATTTTGTTTGTTTTGTTTTCTACTGAATAGATTCTGGGTCTTTGATAGAGTTTCATATACTTGTAATTCATTGCTTGTCTTTGTTGCAGTTTTGTTTTTATTTGCTGTGTAAATATAAATTGCAGCCCGTGTTATATTCAATACTCTTCTTCAACACCACACCTTAAAGACATCAGTTCTTATTTTTTTCCTTTTTAAAAAAAGTTATTATTAATTTCAGTAAAAATTTACAGAGACTTTGGATTTCGATTCATTCATTGTTGCACTTTTCTCCCCTCCCAACCCTCTCCCCTAGTACACTACCCTCTTGGAAAAGTAAAAGAAAAATTCTTTCATTGTTTTACAAACCCTCCCCCAGGTCCTTGGTCCACCACCATGTAGCCTTGGCTCTAGACTCCTGTCATGACAAAAATACCTAATCACACATCCCTTTTAAACAGTTTTCTCCCTCATCTGTTTCAATGCAGTATACATTATTGAACCCATCTTTTTCAGTCTCTCCCCAAACCCAAGGTCAGTCCTGTTTTACAACAGTGGCACCATGCAGTATTTGTCCTTTTGTGGCTGAGATACTTCACTCAGCATTATGTCCTCCAGAGTCACCCATTTTGAATAATATTGCATGAGTTCCTTGTTTTTCAATGCAGCATAGTATTCCATTGTGTGAATATAGCACAGCTTCTCTATCCATTCATTTGTTGATGGGCACTTAGGTTGTTTCCAACTCCTTGCTATTGTGAACAAAGCCGCAATAAACATGGGTGTGCACATATCTGTGTGGATGTCATTTATGGTCTCTTTGGGGTGTATTCCCAGCAGTGGAATTGCTGGGTCAAATGGTATCTCTATTTGTAACTTTTTGAGAAAGCGCCATACTGCCTTTCACAGTGGTTGCACCATTTTACACTCCCACCAACCTCGCCAGCATTTGTTGCTTGCTGTTCTGTTAAATTTTGCTATTCTGACTGGGGTGAGATGATATCTCATAGTTTTAATTTGCATGTCTCTTAGAGCTAGGGATTTTGAACATTTCTTTATGTGCTTGTTAGCCATCTTCTTCGGTATCAGTTCTCCTTCTATCATCCCTAGTCATTGTCCAGCTCTCAGATAGATAGCAGGTAATTGCAAAGACCATGGCTTGTTTCAGGCGCACCTTAGTCTCCAGGCTGACATCATTGTTCTACATTCCTCTGTGTTCTTTGGGAAGTCCATGTCATATTCAGTACTCGTCCAACAGCACAACTGAAAGACATCTATTCTTCTGTCAAATTCCAGCTCTAAGAAGCATAGCAAGTTTTTTAAAAGACCATGGCCTGAATCGGGCACATCTAAGTCTTTTCACTGCCAAAAGAACAGATAGGTCTTGGAGAAGATGCAGCCAGAGCTCCTTGGAAGCAAGGATGGGGAAGCTTCATCTTTCATATTTTAGCCATGTTGCTAGAAGAAGGATATTCCTTGGAAAAGGACATCATGCTTGGAAAGGTGGAAGGTCAGTAAAGGAAAAGACCATCAATGAGATGGGTTGACACAGTGACTGTTGCAGTGGGCTCACATTAGAGTTGATGAAGATGGCACAAGATAGGTCAGGGTTCACATCGTAGTTCATAGGGGTGCTGTGTATTGTACTCAACTTGATGGCACCTAAAAACAACAACAAACTTTGTGAGCTCTGGTGTCTTAGTGGTAAAAAGTTACGCTGCCAACCTAAAGGCACATGGTTCAAATCCATCAGCTGTTCTACAGGAAAATGATGGATAATGTCCTCTAGTGTGATTTATTGCCTCTGAAAACCTACTAGGGAGTCAGCTGTGAATTGCTTCTTACTCGACAGTACAAAACAGCAGCAA